AATGGCATATGTTCTCCCTCATATGTGGATCCTAGCACCAAATCCTGATAAGTGAGTATGTATCCAGACATAACTACAGGAACCAGGATAACGAAAAGGAACCGGAGAGGTAAAGGAAAAGAAAGAATCTGAAAGAGGAGAACAGTAGGAAACAGGCATTAATAAGGGAGATGTGGATTAAAAATGGTGGTTAGTTTGAGGGAGGGGGAAGGAAGGGTATACAAGCTACCTAAGGGATAAAGGGAAAGAAGGAGTTCAAGAGAGGTAGGACCATAGGAGACATCTTAGTTCTGGAAATTGTTATTGAATATGTCAGTGCTCTTGTAATGAAATGCTTCTTCTACTTATATGATTATTAAATAAATAAACAAAAAGAACATGAAACAGGGTGATCAAGAAAGAAACAATGAACTAGATTTAGATCTTGAATTGTCTGCATAACCTACACATCTCCATTTGTTATCTGGAACAGAAGCCTATGTAAATCATGCTGTGCTACCTTATATGACGTTCTAATTTGCTTTCTGTTGCTGTGATAAACATCACGACCAAAAGCAACTTGATGAGGAAGGCTTTTTTTAGCTTACAGGTTATGGTCTGTCATGGAAGGAACTCAGGGAGTGGCTTGAAGTAGAAACCAGTGGAGGAACACTGCTTACTGGCTTGCTCCCAGGCTCACATTCGGCTACCTTTCTAATACAGGTCAGACCCACCTGCCTAGGGATGGTACCACCCACTGTGGGCTGGGCCCTCCTACATCAATTAGCAATCAAGAAAATGCCCACTAGTCAATCTGATGGAGGCACTTCTTTAACTGAGATTTCCTTTTCCCAGGTGTGTCAAGTTGATAACTGAGATTAACCACCACACATGAAAAATGTTCTTGCCTGTAATGTGCACGTCAAAGTGGACAACCATGTGGACATTTTGCAGGTAGGCATTCTTTCCTGTTATAAAAGTCAGAACATAAAATAACCTACAACAATGTGTTGGAAAGCCTGATCTACACACCACACCTTTCCCTTCCCCACTCAAGTGTTTTACCCTTAGGGAGGACATGATTTAAGTTGCAGCATTAGTTAACTTTTCTTGTTGCTGTGACAAAAATCTTGACAAAAACAGCTTAAGGGATCAAGGATGCATTTGGTTCCTGGTTTGAGGGACACAGTCTATCAAGGAATGACAGCAGGATAGGGAAGGAGGCTGCTTTGCTGGCATCTCAGTGGCTCAGGAAGCAGAGAAAGGGGAGCGCTGGTTCTCAGGGACAGCTCTTCTTTTTCTCTTTCTAGTTAGTTTGGGCCTCTAGCCTATGGATGGTGTTGCTCAAACTCAGGGTGTGTCTTCCTACCTCGCACAATCCTCTCTGGAAAAACCCAAAGTGGTGCCTCAGTTAATGCCTTCCAATCAAGTTTGATGAGGGAAATTGACCTTCACAGCCACATAAGGATGCCTTTCAAGAAAACGCCTAGGACCACTGTCAAGAGTATAACAATTTTGAGAATGTTTCTCATGGGAATATGGTTCTTCATTTGTTTCTACTGTTCATTATTGAGTTTCTCCTATAGGGGAGTTCAGAAGCCATAGAATCCCTTCCCCTTTACAGATGGCAAAACAGAAACAAGAAAAGGTGACCCCAACAGTCTCAAGGCTGTCTGTGTTCAGTGGGTGGCAGAGCTGGTGTTCTGATTTTTGACCAGGGCTCAGTTCAAGGGGATACATCTGTTCTATAGACACTCATTACATATGTGTTACATGTGTGGCCAGAGTGTCTTTCTGCCCCAGAGTCCTGGCAGGGGGCACCTTTGGTTACATACCAGGCAGGCACGGAAGAGGAGACTTTGCTAGCACAGAGATGCTAGGGAGGAAGGGATGGTTACAGTAAGGAAAGCTGCTCTGTGCACAGGTGGAATGAACCTTTGCTTATGGAAATGTGCCAGAAACAAGGGTCATCAGTACCTCAAGATCTGTGGGGAGATGTTTAGGATGAGGTGGTGTCTTGTGAGGTAGGCAGGGGACAGAGACTCAGAAGCAAGTGGGCCTGGAAAGGAGGGAGTGGACCCTAGAGGAAGGAAACAGCAACCCCAGCCTCCCCTGAAAGAGATACTATGTCGCTTTGAAGGCAGATTGATGGAGAGGGGAAACTGTGGTCTCATGATTGGGGGTTCTCTCCCTCTTGCCTTTCTATCTCTTTATCCCCCATCATGGAGAGTAGAGAACTTAGCTGTGACCATGTACAGGATGCCTACATTTCAGACTAGGAACTCTGGGACATTATAAGAGTAGAAGTTAGCATCTTGTTTTCTTTCAGGTTTCTTTACCTCAGAGCTGATGTGATTAGATGCCAAACTTGGCCATTTAGCCTTTGCCACCTGCTTTTTGCAAGCATCTCCTCTCACAGTTGAATTAAAGCCTGCCTTAGGATTTGTCCAGGCAACCATGAGCTAGGCAGCCTTGGATAATGGAGTCTTTTAACCTCTGTAAGCCTCTGTCTCCTTGCTGGACCTTCCAGGTAGACCTTCTTCATGTCCCCTGCAATTAGAACCTGCCCATCTCAAGAGTTAAATTATAATTTACATTAGATGACCAAAAGTTCCCAGCTATCTTCTGAACACATATCAACTAGAGATGCCTCAGATGGCAGTGTTGACAGGTGGAGGGGCAGATCGAAGGAGAAGGAGAAGGGGCTATCTTCGAAGCAGGAGGAAGGGTATCAGGGAGTGGATACTCACCAACTGCAAGGGAGAAGTCCCTGGCCTGGGACAGATCCTCTCTAGCTGTCTCCAGGCTCCATGAGCCTTGTCTACCTGATGTCAAGACACATTCAGCCCATACACAGGCCTTTCTGTTCTCACTCTGAGGTCACCCAGGGACTCAGCTTCCCAAGGAATTTGCAATTTACCTACACAGAGCAATTGTTTGGCTGCAGGAAATAAGTGTGTTGCTGGACTTAGTACTTGTGTTTTGTTTTAGCTGTAAATTGTTAAATTGGAATTCTGGCTTTGGTGCTTTGCTCTCCTGGCTGTTGGTCAGCTTGAGTCAGTGTGGTCCTCACCCACATAGTCTCTGACCCCTGAGTCCAGTGCCATGGCCCTTCCAGTACTTTCTCTCTCCTTCCTCTGCTGCCTGTTTCCCTCCTCACTGACCTCACATAGAACCCATTTTCACCTTCAAAGGGATGGCTTTGCTTCTTTGTGCAGTGCTTGAAGGCATGTTCTATTACAGGTTCCCAGGAGAAGGAACCCACAACCAGAAGCAAAGGCCCATTGGCACCGAGAAATGCTCTCCTAAGCAATGGATGAGCAAGTGCCTGGACTTTCATAGAAAGACAGTAGAGGTAACCTGGAGAGGGTTGGGTCTCTACCTGAAGTCAGTGGAAGTAATACTATGCTGGGGTTCTCTACCTAGCTCCTCCATTTACTTCCTGTATGGTTGTGGGGATGCTGAGTGCCATCATAAGGTGAGGCAGGCAGTGTAAAGACCTTGGTGTCATGGAAGGGAAGGCACAAACTTGCAGTTTTCAGAATCAACTACTAATCTATAATTCTATCTGGTTCCCAGAATTTGAACTTGCAGGTAGGAATAAAGGGCCAAACACAGACAATAAATTTAAAGGAAGAGTATGGTAAGGGATTTGCACTGCAAAGAATAAAATGTATTAAAAAACTGCTGTAGCTGGGCATGGTGGCACACACCTTTAATCCCAGCACTCAGATGGCAGAGGCAGGTGGATCTCTGTGAGTTTCGGGCCAGCCAGGGCTACATAGTGAGACCCTGTTTAAAAAACAAACAAGCAAACAAAAACAAACACCTATTATAATTAAGATAGTGCAACATTGGGGTGTGAATTCAAAATGGATTAACCAAAGAGATGGATACCTAGAGATTGATTCATCTGGGCAGTTGGCCTCAGACAGAATTGTGAATCAGTGAGAGATGTAGGGGTTTGCTCTTGGAACATCTGTTTATCATATGGGGAAAATAGTTAAATAAGATCCCTTCCTCACAACATACACAGAAGTCAGTTTCAATAAAGGCATATGGAAAAGGGAAAAGTAGGAGAATGTCTTCCAACACTGGGCAGAGAAACACCCTGTATACACCAACCGTCAAGGGCAACATTCATGAATTTGGTGTTAAAATTAAAATCCTTGTGTAACACAGATCATGATAGACATATAATAGGAGAGTATATTTGTAACAAACATAAAGAATGAAGGACAAGTGCTAAAATATCAGTTAAACACAAAGTTAAACAGAGTCAGCAGGTGCTAAAATTCCATTCCTGGGTGGATGCCAAAAGGATTGGAAAGCAGGTATTTTTACACCAGCATTCAGAGCAGAGTTATTCATAAGAGTTAAATGGTAAAAATAATCTAGTCTTCATGAATGGGCAGGTAAAATGTGGCAGAGACACATGGTGCAATATATGTCAGCCTTCAGGAGGAGGGGCACTCTGACTCATGCGCCAACATGGGTGAATGTTGAAGATGCTTTGCTATGTGAAGAAAGGCAGTCACAGGAACCAGTATGGCAAGAGTCTACTTAGAGTGGGGATGGAGTAGTCAGGGTCAAAGGAAGCACAATGGTGGTTGTCAGAGGCTGAGTGGGGAGCTGGTGCTGAATGAGACAGAGTTTTAAATTTTTACTTATTTATTAATCTAATTTTATTTTATGTGTATGAAGGCTTTGTCTACACGTATGTTAGTGCACCCTTGTGTAATGCCATGGAGACTAAAGAGGGTGTTGGATATCCTGGATCTAGAGTTACAGATGGTCGTTAGCTGCCATGTGGGTGCTGGGTCAGGTCCTCTTTGAGAGCAGCCACTGAGCCAATTCTCCAGCCTTAGGGACAGAATTTTAATTTATGAAGGTGAAAAAATTCTGGAGTGGAAGATGGTAATGGCTGTGCAAGAGTGTGGATGTATAAATACCATTAGACTGTACACTGAAAGAGGGGGAAATTGAACCTTCTACACATTTGACCACAAAACGAAACAAGTGAAGCAGGGGAACGTGTTGCACAGTAGCGCGGGAACATGAGGCTGAAGAAGTCAGACTGGAAAGAACACATAGTAAGAGTCCTGTTTGTACAGTGTACAGAATGGCCTGGGGGGAGGGGCAGAAAATAGAGGCTGTGGAAGGTTTGGGACCAGGGGAGTCGGGGTGATGGCCAAGAACTATGGGGGATGTTCTAGGTTAATGAAATAAAAGTCTGATTCTGAGGTCTCTGTGTGCAGGATATGTGGGTTCTGTGAGACCATGGGCTGATCAGGATTTGCTAAAGAGGGTAATATTTTCTTTTTTCCTTTGACTTGTTAGGAATATCAGTGACTTGTGTCCTGGTTTGTTGCACATATTTTTTGTATGAGATGTGAATTATATTTCAATAAGCTATTGTAATAAAGAAAAAAACCCAATTTAAATAACGTTTTAAAAAATATAGAAAGATGATCGACAAAGAGAAAAACAGTATAACAAGGCAATCCCAGAGGGGAAAACCCGAAAGGCCAGTGAACACAGAACATATTCAGCCGAGGAAGGTGAATGCAAGGCAACAGTGAGATTGTATCTCGTGCCTATCAGATTGCAGAACCCCAGGTCTTCTCAGGCCTGCTAATGGGGAATGAAGCAACTGGAGCTCACACAGGTTATGTGTGAAAAGCAACTCAGTACAAATTCTTTGGAGGGCAATTTGGCAATATCTGGCAAATGTGAAGCGTGACACACCTTTATCTCAGCAAGGCCCCTTCTGGGGACTTACCCCAGGGTATCTCTCATACCTGTGGCAGGGCAGTTATGTGCAAAAACAGCACTGCAGCATTGTTTATATTAGTGAAAATCTGGAACCATGCTACACCTCCAGGCCAGGATAAGCAAATCGCCAAACCATCAAGCAGTAGAATTCTATGCAGCAGTTAAAATGCCCTGCATAT